TAGTACTGCCTAACCAAATTTTAGGAGAACAAGTTTTTCCAACCGTGAGTATTCTTGGAACTGATGTTGATTGACGTTTCCCTCTTCTTGCTGATCCTCTTCCTCGGAGCCAAACCATGTCTACGAGTTCGCAATACATTTGTTGATGGGTTGCTCATTTTGACATCACTCTGGTCAGCATCTGCATTATTTTGAATCAAGAAGATTAAAAGTAATAGATATCCATCAACTTTGAACAATCAAAAGAAACGAAGGCCACATAGTGGATCACCCAATCGTAACACAGTGAAAGCTCATTACAAAGACTGGCATATAGCTCCCAAAAATATCCCGGCGGCAAGCATCACGAAGTTATGTGCAATCGTGACGTGCCATTCGCATCACCAAATTCGATCGCAATCCGCACAAGTCATGGAAGATCGCAATTATACCCAACAACAATATAGCTTTACGGACTATATATAGCCCTCTATGTAGGGCTTTTGTAGACTTGTAGTGGTTTCTCTACTGAATTAATTAAAAGCTCTACCAAACGAGCACACACAAGAATGGCTTCTGAAGCAAAAACAAACAAACAAACAAAAAATAATGAAACTGAAACCATTTAGAGCTCTACCAAAACATGCCTTTTCTCGGACTTCAGGCTCCGTTCGGTTCTCCTGGAATCAAGTCCTGGAACTAATCTTACCAGGAATGCATGTGTAATTTATATAGCTAGCTCTCCATCTGGAACTATTCCAACCAGGAAAAGCTCTAACTGAACGAGCCCTTATTAGAGAAGTCCAAGCCCTGTTAAAGATGGCCATAGTATGTATTGCATTTTGACAATGATGTTTTCATCTAGATGTATTTCCCAAAAAAATTAGAAGATGATTTATGCTCGTATAATAACCAAGCAATTCCTTGGATGGTTAGCAGAGTGGATACCCACTGATCAAACACATCTATATTTCTTTCAATAATATGTGATATAACCATCAATATCGAGACGCGTAATTGTGAAGCTTCGATATACACACGTGTAGTTTTGTTGTTAGACGTGTGCATTTGCTTACAGAAACCGGGAGTAGTTTTAGGATGGTTGTATCAACTCGGTCTAATTGTCTTCAAAGTTTAATAAAATATTTTTTGTCTTTTAAAAAAAAAATCTTTTCTTACTGAAGAAAAATATCAGAGCCTAAGAAATGGATAGGCACGAAGTATCTCAATGGAAGACGAACAGGATGACTCACCCTTTTTGGACGCATCTATCTAGCAGCAGCTCCAAACGTCGCGGGCCTATAAAAGTGGCAAGAGGAGAGCTCCCTGCTGTAAATTGGCCTCTTCGATTTATGATCGTCTAAAGCATGCTGATGTTCTTTTTCTCCTTATCGAAATTAATTTATTCGTCGCTAAATTGCTCTTATTTCCAACACGAAAACTATGTTTCACAGTGTATCTAATGTCAATATTTCTGTATCATAAATATTGGTGTTCTTTTTTATAAATCCGGTTAGGCTGAAGATAGTTTGACTTTGGATAATAACTCTAGAAGTTTATTTATTTTGGAACGGATGGAGTACTTGTTAGGCTTTGGGCATTCTTACCTCATTTCTGAATTTTGAAAGATCTTGAAGTGTCACCTGACTTATTTCTTTTGTTTCATGGTGTATTCATGAATACTTTGAAAGTTCTGATACAAAAATACCAAATTGTTCAAATGGTACCAAATCCTTACCGGGGGCATAAATAAGGAACTTTTGGGAGTTATTTATTCTAAGCAGTTTTCCTTTGTTTTGTTGTTATGCAAATTTAATAGTATTTTCATAAATAAAACAAGAATATATTTTTTGGTTTTCCTTTTTATTAAAAAATAAAAGAGAAGAACTACTATTGTTGCTGTTGCTGTACCGGTAGCAGTTCAAGTGGACGAAGAGTTCTGTCAACAAGTTGCCTTGATTATGTTTCTGTATATTGTATCGTTCGTTTCCTTTTTGCCACTGAATGTGCACTTGAAGAGTTTGCTACGTCTTATTCATCGTGCCATAGACAGATATTTCTGTGGTCCGAGCTGTCACGGACGGAGCTATGTGGGGGCCAAACTGGGTCCTGCCCCCCCCCTTGCTCCGGTTGTATCAATGGAGGTTTGTATGTCGCTGCATGCATGCAATTAATTCTTGTCTCTCTCGTATCATGATTGTTGTTGCTGATGAGTAGATTATAGCTTACAAGTATGTAAATCCGCACATTGTTTATTCTTCTTTGACAGAATTCTAATTGTTCATTGCAGTCTATATAGATAAAACTTGAAAAAACACAGATTTTCCACATAATTCCAACTGTCTATACTACTATTGGTAATACTGTAGCAATGCATCATTGAATTGGCCCACCCTACACGTTCATGCGAGCTCCGCCACTGCGAGCTGTCATGTGGTCCTAGAGCATGACATTATACTCCCCCTCTAGTCTAGTCCTACAATTTTTGTTTGGAAGAAAAAAAAAGGTTTCCAACTTTTAGACCGAATAGGAACAACCGTTAAAATATTTATTAGTTTACTAAAAACATGTATAGAGATTATAGTCTTAAAAAGTGTTTTAATAAAAAAATATGTATATGTTGATTTATATATACATTAGAATCGAAAACCAGCCATATAATATCCAAAATGACAAATTATGGACTGGTGGGATTAACTGAAAGTAAGAAGAATGAAAAGAACCCTAAATATATATATAGGCATAGTACAGGTGTGAAAATTGCGTATTATAGCCGACAAAAATATCCGAGCACGTGCCGGCTTTTTCCATTGGAATATTGATGAACTTGTGTTACTCCGTGACACTTATATTATTTACTTCAAAATCAATCACAATCACCATATGTCCATATCTCCAACAACAATGAAGTCCTGCCCGTAAACGTCATATAAATCTTTGCTCGAGCTACAGGTGAAGATTCCCCAGAATATATTAGTGCTCTATGGTTGAGGCGATCAAAGAGATGGATCCTACCATATACTAGATGACAACCGCTTGTGCACTGGCAGAGACACCCAATAATAATCGGAACTGCTGACGCCCGGACGTCCGATCGGATACCCATCTGTCGGCGGTACGTGACCCATGCCGATTTGTTTCCCGCGCGCGCCTACACCCACGTAGCACGCCCCTGGCCACGCCTGTGTTTCACGCGCCCACGTGAGGCTTGCACCGCCCGGACGTCACCCGCGCCGTGCGCTTGCGCGGGACCGCTCACGCCCCTCCCGCTTCCCACACGTATTCTATGTGCAATACCCGATCTACTTTTCAAACATCCAGATGCAACGCTTGCAACATACGTCTGAAGGCAGATGAAACACTTGAAACATGCGTCTGAAACACTTGCAAAAACACTTGAAAAACACTTAAAACCTTGCAAACATACGCAACATCCAGAAAAATACCTACAACATGTGTGTGAAACATATGCAACATGCAGATAAACACACTTGCAACATACGTTTAAAAACAAATGTAACATTGGGGATAGACGTTTGCAACATACGTATGCAACCATTGCAACGTATGCAACATCCCGATCTACTTTTGCAACATCCGTATGAAACACTTGCAACATATATACCTCTTAAACAACTGAAACATCTGAAATGTACGCTTGCAATATACATCGTATCGCGTGGAAACAAACCTGCCTCCAATCGCCACACCTAGATCAAACAAGATAAGTAAATCAATGCATGATTTCCTTTTCGTTGCCGCTGTAGAACCTTCCCATTTACGTTAACATTGCTTCCGTAGAACCAAACAACACCTGATGCTAACAGCCAGGGCATGTTTGGTTCATAGCGTGGCCTGGGGGTGCTCGCCCAGGCAGCTCGATCCGGCCGCTAGGCACTCAAAATCGACGGCCTGGGGAGCTGCCTGGCCCAGACGCCTTCACCAGGGTCAGAACCAAATAGGCCCCAAGTCCGTGACCTCCCGCTCTAACCGTAGTTTATTTGTGCTCCTCTGAAGCAACGGACGTTCCTTTCTTTGCACCTAGCCAGGACACGAGTGCGAATAGGCTATCAATTCCACGACGACGCCGATGCTCTCGGTCGCTTCCGCCAGATTAAGGGGGTGTTTGATGCGGTGATTAAAATTTAGGAGGTGTCACGTGATGGTGTCATATGGGGTGTTCGAATTAATAAAAAAACAAATTACAGAATCCGACGGTACTTCACGAGACAAATTTATTAAGCCTAATTAACCCGTCATTAGCATATGTTTACTGTAGCATTACATTGTCAAATTATGGACTAATTAGGCTTAAAAGATTCGTCTCGCAAATTAGTCGCAAGCTGTGTAATTAGTTTCGTAATTAGTCTATATTTAATACTCCATATATGTGTCAAACATCCGATGGGACAGCGACTAAAGTTTAGGAGGAGAAACCAAACACCCCCTAAGTGGTGTGTGTCTTGAATGGATTGGCCTTGGCCCCTGGATCCAGTTATCCACTAAGGTCTAAGAACAGTGGTGCTCTTGCTGTTGCCGTTGCATCCAGTGACGTTCGTTGACGCTCTGATCGAAGAACGCTTGCTTGGATCTGTGGATAGGCTAAAACTTGGAAAAACACCCCGTTGAAACACCACCCATTTTTTTTTCTTAAAAGGTCACCGGGATGAACTATCTCCGCCTGAATATCATTACCGCACATTCCGGTAAACACCACCCATTTTCACACCATGCTCGTGCAGATCTTAGATTAAACTATAGATAGGCATGAGAGATCTCCCCTCGATCGGGGGAAGATGCGGCCGTGATCCAGATCATCACACTGACAGTTTTGGACTCACTTCCTTGTCAGCTCCACGTCACGTGTAGACGGCACCGAGCTCGACCGCCGTTCTATAAATTAGCAAACAGTCCTATATGAACTGGATCGCAGATACCCAAGGGCAATCAAACAAATTCTTCTTTACTAGCACTAGCCGTCTCTCTCTCTAGCCCCGAGTGTAGAAGCAGCACGATCGACGATGGTGCATCAGGCTCAGGGACAGATGGTGCAGGAGGTGGCCGCCGCCGGCCTCCCCACGCTGCCGACCCGGTACGTGCTGAGGGAGGAGGACCGCCCGACAGCCCCACCAACAACCGGTGGCGTCGCGGCGCCCGAGCTGGCGGCCTTCCCCACCGTGGACGTGCAGCGTCTTGCCGACCCCGGCGACGTCGAGGAGGCCGACAAGCTCCGGTCGGCGCTCCAGTCCTCGGGCCTCTTCAAGGTACGCAACGCACAGCACACATTCATGTTGGTTTAGTAGACAAAGGCTTCGTGCCAAGTTCACTATGAATCGATGTAAAATCTAAACTTTGCTAGGTGACCGGTCACGGCATGCCAGTGGCGCTGCTGGATGGCGTCCGGGACGCCGGGGTGGAGTTCTTCCACCTGCCCTTGGAGGAGAAGCTGAGGCACGCGAACCGGGACGACGCCGGCGAGTTCCAGCCCGAGGGGTACGGCATCGACCGCGTGGACACGGACGAGCAGGTGCTGGACTGGTGCGACCGCCTGTACCTGACCGTGCAGCCGGAGGAGGAGCGGCGGGCGCAGTTCTGGCCCGCGCGCCCGCCGGCGCTCGGGAGGCTCCTGCACGAGTACGCCCTGGGCAGCGAGCAGGTGGCGAAGCGCGTGCTCATGGCCATGGGGCGGCTGCTCGGGTTCGGCGAGGAGTTCTTCCTCGACCACGTCGGCGAGAGGGGGGGCACGTACGCGCGGTTCACCTACTACCCGCCCTGCCCGCGCCCGGACCTCGTGTACGGGCTCAAGCCGCACACCGACAACTCCGTCGTCACCGTGCTCCTCCTCGACCGCGACGTCGGCGGCCTCCAGGTGCTGCTCAGGGAGGAGGGTGGCGGAGACGGGCGGTGGGTGGACGTGCCCGTGCTCGCCCGCGACGAGCTGCTGGTGGTCGTGGGGGAGGAGATGGAGATCATGAGCAACGCCGTGTTCAGGGCGCCCACGCACCGCGTGGTGACGAGCGGCGAAAGGGAGAGGATGACGCTCGTGCTCTTCTACCAGCCGGAGCCGCACAAGGACCTGCAGCCCGCGGAGGAGCTGGTGGCCGAGGACCGCCCCGCGATGTACAGGAAGCTCAAGGCCAAGGCCTTCGGCGACGGCTTCTGGGACGCGTTTGCGCTCGGCGAGCGCACCATCGACTTCCTCAACATCAAGGTCGACGACAGGGAGTCAGCTGGGAGCATGCCGGAGGCGGCGGCGGCTTAATCACCTCAGCGCTAGCTTGCTTGACGCCATATGAATTATGAACGAACGATCGAGCATGATTGTTCATGCACTGTGTTTGTATTGTATTGTACTGTACCAAATGAGCGGATGAGCCCGTGTCAGTGTCATCAGCCATGAACACCGTATCTATCGGTCCATGTTTATGCACTTACTGTCGTTCGCATGTCCAGCAGTATAAGATGTAGTGTAATAAGAGATGTGGCGCAGTTCTTCATACAGTAATCTAGATCATCACTGGACCTGGTTGGATGTGATTGATGAAATAAAAAATGGTCTTGATGTACAAACCGGAAGTCTTCCCCGATGTTTCAGTATATATAAGCAGAGTTTTACTCGTTTCAGAAGAAAAAAAAGAGTCTTTTTCTTAGTTTGATCTCCACCAATTGGCCCAACGGTCAATTAGGCCCTTGGATCCGCGTCCTGATCGGGGACGCCCAACCGCTCCATGGTTGGTGAGCCCCCGTCGCACAGCACCATAAATGGGAGCGGGGGGTCGGAGCACATGGCACGAGGTTCCCCTAGAGCTACCAAGCGCCCCACCGATCATTCTCTAACGCTAACCGATCCAGTGAGAGGGTGCTGCCAGCGACGGGAAGCCACCACCGACTTCACCGTCGCCTCTGCATTGCCCCCCGCCCTCTGGACTCCACTGCGCCTACGCTGTCACGACACCGGCGTCCACGTCGCTGCGGCGCCATGGACGCAACTGCGCTAGGGCGAGGTACAGGAACAAGTTTCCCCATCTAAGTCAAGTTTATCCCCTAATCTACGTTTTAGAGGTACTATATCCTATCAATGGTACTAGAGCCAGGTTATCCTAGTGTGTAAATTGTAGATCAGGGTAGAAAAGTGAAACAGAATTAGAACCAAAACCCTAACTCTAAGGAAGAAGACCGCCGTCAAGTGGGAAGAAGACCGCGCCGCCGCTTCGACGGCGTGCGGGAAGGAAGCCACCCCGAGCTACCATGGGCGTGTGGGGTAAGAGACAGAAAGAAGGAGATGAGAAAGATCCAATTCGGATCGAAGCAGAGGGTTCCTAACCCTAACCCTAGAAGGGGAAGAACGACAGAAGAAAGAGGGCTCGATTCGGCCCGATTCGGATCGACCCAGACATGAACCCAAACCCTAACTCGCAAAAAGCAGGCGGGGAAGATGAACAGTGGGTTCGGACAAACCCTAACCGGCCAAATCCGAACCCTAACCCTAGACTCGACCCACTCCGGGAAGAGAGAAGAAGGGGTTTTGGGAGATTAACTCACCGGATTAGCTCCGGGAAGCACCGCTGGTTCACCCGCCGTGGTGGTCTTTGTCTGACCTAACCCTAGCAGAAGAATGATGGAGCGGTGAGGGTACCTACCAGGGCTCCTTCGCCGCAAACACCACCGCCGTGGCACGGGAAGCAGACCGCGCCGTCGTATCCGCCAGCGCTCGAAAGAAGATCCGAGCCGCCGGCTCGCCAGCGTTCTGAGGCGCGGTGTGGGTGTGCTGAGGGCACTGAAAGGATCAAGATGCCCAAGAGGGGGGTGAATTGGGCTAATTCTAAATTTTCTTGCAATAATCAAATCCTACGGATAGCCCAATTAACCCCTTGTGCCTAAAAAGTGTTTATATTAAACTAATGCACAACAACCTCGCAACCAACGTTCCAAACTTACTCTAGCAAGCAATTCTATGGATGTAAGACAAGTATTGAAATGCTCAAAGTAAATACTCAAAGTAAGTGCTCAACGTAAATAGAGAGAGAAAGGAACGCGGCGATGTTTTGCCGAGGTATCGGAGAGTCGCCACTCCCCACTAGTCCTCGTTGGAGCACACCCGCATGAAGGTGTAGCTCCCCTTGATCCGCGCAAGGATCAAGTGCTCTCTCTGGGTTGATTCTTGACACTCGTCGCGCGCGAATCACCCAAAACCGCTCACAACTTGAGTTGGGTCACCCACAAGCTCCGCCGGGTGAACACCAAACTCCCAATCACCACCAAGCCGTCTAGGTGATGGCGATCACCAAGAGTAACAAGCACGAACTCTCACTTGACCACATGAAGCCTAATGAGAAGATGGATGCACACTTTGCTACTCTTGATTTGCTAGTGAGGCTACTCTCTTGGATTCTCAAATCACAAACACCTCACTAGGACCTTGCTCTTCTTGGCACTCACAAACGTGTTTCTCATTTGTTGGAATGAGCAAAAGATACCCCACTCACGAGTGGACCTTCTATTTATAAGCTTGACTGAAAAAGCGAACCGTTATGAGCTTCTGCGGGGACGACCGGACGCTCCGATCGTGATGACCGGACGCTCCGATCAGTTCAACCAGCGAACCAAGATATTAAAGAGTCGACCGGACGACTGGCAGGTCCGATGCGCAGACCGACCGGACGCGCGTCGGTCGCATAAAACCCTTATGGAACTTCTTATCGAGTCGACCGGACGCTGAACCCTCGTGGTCCGGTTAAGACCGACCGGACGCGTCCGGTCCTCTTTCCCAAGTCTGGACCCTTTATTGGAGTCGACCGGACGCTGGTCCTCGGTCGTCCGGTCACATGACCTTCCAGCGTCCGGTCACATCAGACTTGATCACCTCGATCAAATGAATCGGACCGGACCCTGCTGCGTCCGTGTCGTACGCTGACTGAGCTGAGCGTCCGGTCAGTGTTTGACCCTCCATTCACTTCCAACTTCCGAATATATGAGAATGAATTTTGCTCCAAAAGATCTTAGGCAATCATAGGAGCTACCTAGAGCTAGTTTAAACAAGTGTGCACCACACCTAACTCACTAGACTTAACTAGGTCAAGCTACCCGTTCATACCCCCTTCATAGTACGGCCAAAGGAAAAAACAAAGTCCTAAACTACTCTAAGTGTCTCTCCAACTTCAATTGACACTTAGAACTAGTTATCCTTAACCTTGTCGTCCATCCTTTGAAAACCGAAACGATTTCCATCGTAGGGGCATGACAACCTCAATTGCCCAATCGATCTCCATTACCATGACCTAACTTAATTGCCTCTGCAAAACATACGTTAGTCATAGTAATCTTGTATTGACATCAATCACCGAAATCCAACTAGGGGCCTAGATGCTTTCAATCTCCCCCTTTTTGGTGATTGATGACAACACCACCTCGAGTATGTTATGGAGTGAGGTTTTTGACGAGCTTGGTTCATATAAGCTTTTGTCAATAAGAACAAAAGAGTTAGTCAAGCTTATATGACCCAAGCCAACACAATGTACTCAGAGAATATGGATTAAGCATGAGTACAAATTACAAAGCTCATTTGCTTCAAAGTATAAACGCGGAAGCAAAATCAAATGAGCATCACACAAGTGATATGACATATAGATAAAGCAAAGTAGAAGTCACACATGTCAAATATCACAATCATGTGGATAGCACTATCACATATAAATAATAGTATGCATGAAAGTAAACACACGAATGCATAAGTAATAGTGTATCACACAAAAAAAAAATCCAAAAGTATATAATAAGCTAATACTAGATAACTAGCTCCCCCTAAAACTCGCTCCCCCTAAGTCTACATACTCAAACCCTCTCCCCTTTGGCGTCAAACACCAAAACCTAGGGTTTGACGACGGCGGGACTGCTGTGACGGACAAGTCGGGCGCTGAAAGCACGTGGAGCAAGATGGAACCAGGCGCCATCATCATCTCGACCACTGAGCTCTCGAATGGACCGACCCCTCAAGGTGGGGGAAGAGTCATTTCAAACGGTCTGGTCTGAAGTGGGGCTAGTCTTTGCTTGTGAAGCTGCAAGTATGTCTGTCGTGGGATCTCGACGAGGCGATGAGACGAGGGAGCCCTGAGTAGTCATGATGAGCTGGAGGTCTTCAGAGACGGACCGGCAGCATGCATGTGAGGCGGAGTAGGCATGCCGGTCAACTCATCGAATGATGCTCCAAGACTCGGAGACCCGGCGACTCGAGCACGAATAGTGAGGAAGTCTGCTCTGGTGAGAAACCCGTGTGATAAGGAGTGAATCTGGGGCTACACGTGTGAGGCTAACCATTGGGACACTCAGACAGGAGGTGAAGGAAATCGAGTGGAGGCTGTCCTCGACTCTGAAGCCCTTTGGGCTGCATCGCTTTGGAGTCGTCAAGTGGTGGGAGGTTGTGTGCAAGTGGGGCGAAGGCTGTGGTGGGGACCCCAATAGGCTGTTACTACATCTTTGCATGAATCCCATAAATTGCTTCTTTGCATAAAGCTAATCGCTGGTCTTGAAGAAGTTGCTGCTGCTGAAACTGAAACTCTGTGCCCCGACGAGCTCGAATCTTGGCGGTTGGTGGGTGTCTCTGTGCTGCTGTGGTTCGATCTCGCTGCATCCGCTCAAGAATAGCAATGATGAGAGCGGGCATGTCTGGTGGGAGGTGGAGCAGAACTAGAGCTACTCGCCTCTGCATCGTGGTTCTGCGTGGAGGCATCGAGGTATAGGCTGGTAGTCGTGCGTCAGCCATCATCTTGCATCACTCACTCACCTCCTGCTGTGTGCCTCTAGCTCCTCCTCCTCGGTGGCTGCAATCCCTCGATTATCTCATCCGCTTTGAGCTGCAGACTGCACGTTAGGGGGCGACGGGGTGGCTGACTGGGTGCCCGAGGAGTGGCGGTCTCGATCCTCTGTGTGATGAGTTGTAGGCTGGGAACTCAGAGGGCACTGTATACTCATCCATCATGCCAGGGGCTTATCAAGCACTACTTTGCGGATGAGGAATGTGATCCAGTGAGCATAGGGAAGCTGCCACGACCCTTGAATCCCTCACTATAGTATCCTCCATCTCCGAAAGAAGGAGGTCCCGGATGTCAAACATCACATCTCGCATGATGGCATTGAGAAGCCAGAGTCAGAAGCGAGTCAGCCCTCCCTCAGATCCCAACACGGGAAGCAGTGTCCTCCTGATGATGGCCTCTAGTATCCTCGCTGTAGGAGTCAAGTCACTGGGGTTCCTGCTCGACCCCTCTC